GAATAGAATAGAATAGAATAGAATAGAATAGAATAGAATAGAATAGAATAGAATAGAATAGAATAGAATAGTTGGAAGGGACCTTGAAGGTCTTCTTGTCCAACCCCTTGCTTAGGCAGGAAACCTATACCATTTCAGACAAATTGTTATCCAGTCTTTTCTTAAAAATTTCCGGTGTTGGAGCATTCACAACTTCTGGAGGCAAGTTATTCCACTGATTAATTGCTCTAATGTCAGAAGAACTCCCAGCTGAGTGTTTGGTCCAATTCAGGTTTATAATAAAGCTTTTAGTATTTGGAAGCAGGGATAGACAACATTTATCAAAGCATTACTTTATCCCAGCAAGCTGGTTATTCCCCCTTTAATACCACAAAAATAAGAATGGTATGGGGAGAACAAGTTGAATAGGCACCAAAGGAACTTTTCAAATATACATAATAATATATAAATAGTAGGAATGTAGTTGTGCTCCTTTTTCTAGAATGGTGATTCAGTGGGTGCAGTCAGTGAGTTTACCAAAACATACAGTGCTTCAAAGCATCACAGGTTATTTCTAACAAGTCTATTATTACATCTGTTGTATCAGTTTTCCTGTCTTTTCTCCTAAAATGTAATAAAAATAGATTCCATCAGTATTAGCTTGACTGCTCCAGATGGGCACATTTATTGTCACGGAACGGAAGAGCTTGCCATACCCTCCCAGGCTAACTTCCAGCCCTCGGATTTCCTACTTGTCTCCTGTCTTAGATCTAATGGCATTTGACTCTGTTTAGTCTTTTTTTCCTCCAGCATTGCACTTCCATCAGGTGTGTCTCCTAAATTGTCCCCCAAACAAATTTAAAGAGGGCTGTTTTTGTCTTTTCGCTCCATACTTTCTTACATTCTTTCTGTTCTGGCAGGATACATTCAGCCTGTTTTTCCCCCCCATCTTGTCCCTCCAGGTGTGCCACAGGGGAAGCCTGGCAGGAGATCATGCTAGCCAGCTTGCCTGGCAAGCGCTGTGACCCTGAGTCTGATTTTGAACCTGGGGAGGAATTCACTTGTGGTAGCAACTTTGCTATTGTCTATTTCATCAGCTTCTTCATGCTGTGTGCCTTCCTGGTGAGTTCCTGACATAAAGTACCCTCTGTTCTTCCGATTTAGCACCTGGATTCTAGATCTATCAACCCAGCCCCTCTTCTTTAGAGCCAAGATCCATCTCATAACTGACAAACTAAAACATTGGTTCCCACCACGCATGTCAGTTTTGATGCACCGGTTGTGCTACCTGAAAATAGACTTAACTCAGAGAACATATGTGTCATCTTTGAAGTTGTTTCTGCAATTCGAAGCAAAGGAACAGCTGGGAGCCAGAGTGGGTGCAGCTTAGCTATCTCTATTCCTGCAATTTGTCTCTTTAAAATTGCTCTCCTGCGCTGGCTCCTGTTTCATCTCTGTCACACAGAGAGGATCCTGTAATGTGCTTCTCCTGTTTCTCTGCTTACTCAATAACAGCAGGAGCAACAGCGCTGTCATGTGTCATTTCAGCCTCTCATGTGGCTCTTGCATCATTACTGAAGCTCAGACCAATGATCTGTATGTGGCTTATCCCATTTCCTTTCCCCACTGGGCCAGGCTTAATTGCTAAAATGAGGAGGATTGATGCTCATGAACATTTCCTGACAAAAAGACCTCCTATCCCAAATATGGGGCATAGTAGAGATGGTATTCAGCAGTTCTGACCAGTTCTGGAGAACCAGTAGCGGAAATTTTGAGTAGTTCGGAGAACGGCAAATACCACCTCTGACTGGAGATTTTACAGTATCCTTTCCCCTGTCACACCCACCAAGCCACACCCAATTTCAATCCCATCACTGGGGCATACTATCCTTGTTGAAAAGAAAGCACACTGGGGGCAAGCAGTGTTCTCTAACTAAATGTCTTTCAGTCAAATGTAATACAGTGGACTATAGCTCCCCTCATCCCCAGCCAAAGGAGAGGCAAATTACAGACCAGAATACTGAGATGACAGCTATTCCAAGGCACACTTTCTGTTGGGTTATTGAATATGTTCCAAGCCTAAATCAAAGCAAGTACCCTTAGAAAGAGCTGCTGACTCTCACTAAGTCCCTCTGGCATCCATTCCTTTTCTTCAACTTGATTACAGTTTTACAAACACTTGCTGAGCCCAACAGGACTTATTTCTAAATAACCTTCACAGTATCAAGCTCCTTGCTTCTGATGTTTTGCTCTTACTCATTTTGTCTACTAGATCATTAACCTCTTTGTTGCTGTCATCATGGACAATTTTGACTATCTCACTCGGGACTGGTCCATTCTGGGTCCCCACCACCTGGATGAGTTCAAGAGGATCTGGTCGGAATACGATCCAGCTGCCAAGTAAGAAACTTAACTCCATTCATTGAAATCGTTTCAGTAAATGCTTTTGGAAATAGTAGCAGTATCTTCCAGAATTTCCCATCACAGACAATAAGGAGAATCTTTAACTTCTCTTAAGCTGCACAATTTCTAGTGTTCTACTGTTACCAGAGACACTAGAAGAATGTTACTTTCCTTCGATAGTTTTGATGCATACCACAAAAGGCATTGTAGATTATATATTGAGTTAATATTTTGAAAGTGAAATATAAGTGGTAATCCTGCCTGAGGAACTTATACTGTATCATTTCTGGATCATGATTTTACTATTTGAGGGTCTTTCCTCAGTGCTGAGTTGGATGACTCTCCATCCATCTGGAATTGGCACAGGCCTGTAATTGTGACATCGGATATCCCAGTTGCTGACCCTCTCCCAGTTGATTTCTCACCAGGATGCTGAGTGCTGACAACGCCTAAAAGATTTTACACACCTTTAACAGCAGAGGATGATTAAGTCTGTTTCCCTCATGGATTTCAGACAAAATAATAGCAACATCATGGAGACAAGGCAAAGTGTGTTTTCCTAGTAGCAACATTGTCCATTTCCTACATCTTTCTGATTTAAAATGGTCTTTGAAATGTGTTTTGTATGATTATTACTTTCTATGCTGCTGTTTGATAAACATTTGAATTAATAGGCCTCTGGTTTAAATCTATACTTTTTAAATTCTGTTCCTTTATAATGCTTGGCTATTCGTGTGCTTAATACATGTGAAAATGCAATTTATCTTCATGCGGATTAATTTAGAGTACCTGCAGCCTATAATGATAGATGACAGGTGTGTTTCACATTTTCCCATTTACCATGGGAACTGGAGGTGATGGGAATAGTCCATCAAAACTAAAGGAGATCAGGTGGAGGAAGGCTCAATTAAAGAAAGGTTTCTCTTCCAGAGGTTACATCAAGCATCTGGATGTGGTGACTCTATTGCGCCGGATACAGCCACCTCTGGGTTTTGGGAAGCTCTGTCCCCACCGAGTGGCCTGCAAAGTAAGTGAAAAAATCAGATTCGTCTGGACTACTGTGACCACTAACAGGGAGGAGATTACAAGGATTCTTGATTTAATTTGCCTGTCTTTTAGAGGCTGGTGGCCATGAACATGCCATTGAACTCAGATGGAACTGTCACTTTCAATGCCACCCTTTTTGCTCTGGTGCGTACGTCACTAAAGATCAAGACAGAAGGTAAAGCGCTAATTTAAGGCAGGGAAGCATTTTGTACATGAAGATAGTTCCTGTTTTCAGGCTTCTAATTAAGCTTCCACAAGCCTTTTCTCTGTTCTCAACAGCTCCTCCTATGTCCTACTCTATCCCCCATGATGAGCAGAAAGACTCCACCCTTCTCTCCCCCTTTTTCTCTTGCTTTTGTTTTGCTGGAGTAGTGAAAAAGAAATGAGATGAATATGTGATACTGTAAAATAATACAGCTGTTTTAGAATCATATGTTTTAAGGCTGTCCTAATATGCTATTTTCAAGAGCCAGCATTCCTGTTTTACTAACACAAATGATAATGACAGCTTTCCCCGGGCTTTATGCCTGACATTTAAATTGGTTTTCTCCAGATGTCTTGGACTACAACGGGAATAAGGCCGGGACTGCTATATATCATATATATAAACCAGAAGTATTTGTTTTCTTCCTCGTTTTCTTTTCTTCCCTAATTCATTTCACCTCCATCTGACTGTATTCCCACTATTCATTTTTCTTCATTCCAAAGGCTACTTGGGATAGTTTTAGATTGCTTAGTAGAAGAATCAGGAATAAAATCTCATTCTCCTTTTCTCTTATAGGAGACCTGGATATGGCCAATAGGGAACTCCGTTCTGTCATCAAAAAGATCTGGAAACGGACCAAGCCCAAATTACTGGATGAGGTGTTACCTGTTGCAGAAGGTTAGTGTTCTTTTCTCCTTTCTGTCAAATCGCTATCTTGTCAAGTCTCCAGAAAGTCAAGAGAGGAGGGAAGATTAAACATTACGTTAGCTTAATGGGCCACTTAAATATTCACAGGAGTTGAACAGCTGTTAAGCCTTGTTTGGTGCTGCACCAGTTAAGATTCTGCAGGTGTAACAAAAACAAAATTTTGCTGATGACTGTTCTCGATGCAAAATGAAGTCATCCTTGAAAACAACAAAATGCACTCAGCACTACAAGAACAGTGGTGCTATTAAAAAAAAAGTGAAACATTTCTGTAACATCATCTGAAGGTTTTTAGGGGAACATGAATGCTTTGAACTTAGTCACAGGTTCCTAAACGCTTGCATCTTCCACTGGCAGGGGAAGAGATAACTGTAGGAAAATTCTATGCCACATTCCTGATCCAAGATTATTTCCGTAAATTCCGTAAGCGGAAAGAAAAGGGACTGCTTGGACCAGATGGGTCCCCAAGCAACTCCTCCGCCTTGCAGGTAACTCTACCACTTTTAAGATGAATCCCTTAAATCAGGGGTCTCCAACCTTGGCAACTTTAAGACTTGTGGACTTCAACTCCTAGAATTCCTCCGCCAGAATTCTGGGAGTTGAAGTGTACAAGTCTTAAAGTTGCCAAGGTTGGAGACCCCTGCCTTAAATGGTCAGATGAAGAGGCCCTGAGACACAGATAGCTGATCCTTTTGTTTTGGGACCTCTCCCCATTAAGGCTGGACTGAGCTGCTTACAAGTTCTAGGGCCTGAGATCCGCAGAGCAATGTCCTGTGACCTGGAAGGAAAAGAGGAAGAGGAGGAGGAGGAGGAAGAAGCAGAAGAAGTTGAGGAGAAAATCATTGAGGAAGAGACAGCCATTTACAAGGTAAAGTCTTTGTTCCAGTTGGATTTAAGGAAGCCAATTTGTAGTTGTGAAAAGGTTACATGGCACTTTATTGATTTTTCTTCAAAGAAAAGAAAAAAATAGATTAGGAAGAATGCTGGGTTGGAACACTTTCTGACACATTAGGTTTTTAAATTTTTATTTACAGAATATATTTTTGCATGGAGGAACTTTTACTCTTGTGAATCCAGTCATGTGAGCTCTATTCCCTCTGAAGTGAGAAAACATTTTTTGCCAGTTTAGTAAGAACGAGGTCTCCATTGTGTGGATTGCTATTATCTATTAACCTAGAACAAGACTACTGTTTATTGGAACCTTCTTTGGAGCGGAGTATAATTAGCTTCATATTCATAGTAAAACCTATGTTTGACATAGAAGGTGCTGGGAAATCATGAGTTCTCCCTTAAGTCATGAAAATTGGCTTGGTGATCTCTCTCAACTCAATCCATCTCACAGAGTTTTCTATTCTAAAAGATAATATTTCTACAAAAAGAAAGCAGGATATAAATGTAGTAAATAATAAAATGTTCCGTTTGAGAAGAATTTTGTTGGAACTGGGGCTAAAAAAAAATGCTTAACTTTCTTTTCTGGTTTGGGTGGTCCAGCTTTTTCTTTAACCATACAGCTAGTTTTAGCACAGCTTCCCATGGCACACCTCTAATGTATGGACTAAAAGTTCTGATAAGCTGAGAATTATAGCCAAGCATACCTCAAAAGTCAAAACCCACTCTAGAGCATGGGATCTGTAATCCCTGGAGCACTAGTTGCTCATTGATTTTCCTTTGGCTGTGATTTGGTTCAATATTGTTATCTAAGTTAAGACAGATTTCAACATGGAATTAACATGAATAGATTTTAAAAGATGAATTATTTTGAAAGTCAAATCCTAGTGCCCCTCAAGCTAATTGCAAACGAGATAATTCAGCTTAGCCAGTTCTGTTTTTCCACACCTACTCTTCTGTGCTGAAATTGAAAAAGGTTGCTGCTAAGTTTCTAGGAGAGCAGATGCACGTACAATATGGTGTTATGAACTGCAGAAGAGAAGAGAATTTGAGATATTTGGAGAAAGGGAATAATAATTCTGTCTGCAGATTTATAATGTGTTTCTAGCTTGATAGGGCTAGAAAGTCAGAGACTACTGTTCTTATTTTGCATGAAGCCCCCAAAAGATTTTGGAGAGCATTTTTTGAAGACATTCCTCTGAAGATTTCTTGCCTAGTTCCCCTCCCACACAAACCAGGAGTCAATTTCTATTACATGGCATATTAATGGCTGATTTCTAAAAAAGTAATATGGCTCAAATTATTCCCTTAAGTCTGAAGTCCTCTTTTCCTTGCAGGTTTGCAGCTAAAGAATATACAGCAATTATTTTTTTGTGAATGAGCAAAGTTTGCATTTATTTCAGATTATTCCAAGGTTGTCCGCAGAAAGGGGTTTAAAAAAGTCAAAATGATGGCCACAACCATACATGTAAAAAGCATGTGATTGTATGATTGTGGCTGCCATTTATACTTTTTTGAGCCCCTCGTTGTGGTCACCCATTATTCATTCTCTTTTTCATGATCGCATTGCTTCATATTTAGTTTATCAGTTCTGAGCTTGGGCATTACAATTTCTCCTCCAGCTTCAAAGCCTAGAATACTGGATTATCAATGACTTGTGGAATTGGAAGCCACTACAAGCACTTTTAAACAATCCCTCTGCAATTTGCATTAGAACTTATTAAATTAGTCTCAAGAGGGTCCATACTCTTAAAAATCTCCCAAAATAGAGAAGCCTCAACCCATAAGGAGACAGTTCCACTGTTGTACAGATCTTACCATTTGAAAGTTTTTGTTTCTATCTAAAAGAAATCTAGGTTGGTGCGACTTGTAGCCATTATTTTTGTTCTACTTTCTGTGGATAGCAACAAGTTCCCTATGGTACCTTTTAACATATTGAATCAGCCTCAAGTCTCCCATTTAATCTTTTCTCCAAACTTCTTTAATCTGTTATTGTAGACATATCCTCAAATTCCTATATTATCTTTGTTGCTACACAGTACTCCAGTTTGGAGTAGAATAATATAGGGACTTGATGTACCTTTTGTGCAGTGCTTCTTTTGATGAAGCCCATAACTATGTTAGCTCTTTTAGCAGCTGTCTCACACTGCTGGTTCATGTTAGCTTGTTCTCAGTGACTGAGCCCTTTTCCTTCTATGATGTTTTTGCAAAGCCACAAATCTTGCACAGCCATAAATTTCCTAATGTTATCCATTGCAATTCTCCCTTTTGGAGGACATCTTGTTCCTCTCAGTTCAGATTTCTAACATGTACAATCTCATTCTGTATTTTTGAGTATAGAGACCAAACCTTCCAATTTTGCATCATCCACCTATTATCCAGGTCATTAATAAAGATATTGTATAATACTGTCCAAAAGATAGATCTTTATGGGACTCCATAGGTTACTGCTTTCCAATTTCCAGATCAAGTGTTCATGTCATTTCATGCTTATTGTTATAGTTAGCCAGCCATTTAACCACCATCATGCTCATGGTGATCTTTCACACATTCAATTAAATTTGCTCCCAATTATTGGGAATAATCCACATAATGGGTTGAACTATGTGGTTGCATTTCCTGGGCCACCTTCCTACTGTGTCATCTAAACAACCTTTTATTGGTTTATCAGTGAAAACATTGTGTGGAACCTTGTCAAAAACTTTGCTGAAAGATGGGAAGCTCACATCCTCAGCATTGTTACCTTGCCAAGAAATGCAAGATTTGCAAGAAATGCAGGACCTATTTTTGACATATACTTACTAACTTTTAGCAACCATAGCACTGCCTTCAAGACACCTTCAAGTGATCTGAATTCCTACACTTCTCATTTGAAACATTGTAAATGATCCTTGCTTGTTAGCTGTTCCTTTGATTTCCAATAAATATCCTTTTTTATTATCAGTTCCTTCTTGAATTCTATAGCTTGGCTATTGGCTTCTTTAGATGTTTCCTAGTTTTCTTCCCTACTAGTATTGTTGGAGGCTATGTAATTCTTAATTTCCTTTTCAAAAAGTCACAGCCACCTACATTTTTTGCTTTTAAGGTTTTATTTCTATAGCACCTTTCTTATCATTTCTTTTTGTTCATTAAAATTTGCCTTTCTATTATCCATGGTTGGAGTTTTTTTTTTAATGAAACTTTTTTTTATTAAAATCAAGAACTGTAGGAATGCATGGCTACTTGCTCCCAAAGTTCCTACCACTTTAATATCCTTAATCATCTCGTCCTGGTTAATCCCAAATAGCAGATCCCTTAATGCCTACCTCAATCATTTGAGAAAAGAAATTATCACTAAGGATGAGTAAAGAAAGTATGTGACATCTTAACGTTTGGTAGAATTTATCTCCCAATAGATACCTAAGTAGTTGAAACTTCCCTTCAGAAATCCATCAAGGGTTATTGGGACTTCGGTGAATCTTTTTCCTCTTCTGACTAGTTTGATGATTTATAGCAAGTTATCGTTTCTATTAGCTTGTCCTGCTATATTAACTCAGATGCTTTCCACACTTGTATTACCATCAGTCCATTAGACCAACTATAGGGAAGTTCATTCCTTTTACACAGCACTATCCTGCCTTCTCTCTGAGGTTGGCTGTTCCTCTGAAGCAAGCCATCCCACTGCGTTTCTGTCGTCATTCTTTTATCATGCCTGCCTTTCTGTCCTATGACGCCTGACTGACGTTGCTCATCCTTTATGCATTAAGGTAGAGACATTTACGATAATGGATTAGATTCCCTGTTTCGACCTCCCTGCATTTCTTTTCTTCTTCTTTAACTGGTAATTACCAAAAAGTCCTTTCTCTTAAAGAATGTTTGCTATCATTGGGAAGCATTGATTGGGAATACCAGCTGGGCTCCATGATCTTTTCCTCCCCAAAGCCATGAAACAAACATTTATATGCCAGAAGGGTCATGCCTTACAATTTCATTTCTATCCTGTTGGATGAGTAGAAACACCTGGAATCAACCATTCTGAAAAAGTCTTGTTGTTTTTTTAGTCACATCTCAGATCTGGGCACCCAAAGGGCAATGTATAAAAGGGTTCTCGTAGGTTTTCTCTTGTTGTGTCACTATCTTTCATCTAAGGATTGTTAACAGTACAAAGAAAATACAGGAAAACCTGAAGTACAGTGGCTAAATCCATGAAAAAAATGCAGCCTTCCAGAATTACACTTCATGCCCCCCTCCCCAAAAAATCTAAATGCATGTGAGATTGTGGAAGAAAGTGCTTGCTGCCAGAATAGTTTAAACAGAGCAGATGAAACTGGGAGTGGTCATAAGGGCATGGGCGAAACATACAAATACATATGAATTGAAAGATGCCATTAACCACCATTCTTCATAAGTGTAAATAAATGATTTTTTTTCTGAAGGCCTGGGTTTCCCAGTGGTGTAACTGATATTGATTTTACTTTGAAAGTCAGGATGGGGAATCAGTTGGGTCTGATGACAGAAGTGATAATTGGGACTGCTATTTTGAGAATGACATACAATATGTACAAGTAAACACCAAAGACTGGAAAGTTGCAGGTGTGCAGATTCGACAAAGGAAAAGAAGCTCTGAATGTAAGACTGAGGTTGACACATAGATTTGAAAGAACAGGCTCAGTTTAAAATATCTAGCTAGATCACATGTATAACGTACTAAGCTATCCAGGAAAAGCAATGCACAACAGGAAAATTGTTGATTTCCAAGACTTCCAAGACTTACTTACTTCCTTCCTTCTTACAGAGTTCTGAGTTGTATAGTGAAGCCCCTGACCACCGTACCTCAGTTGCTGAGACTCCAACAGAACAAGAAGTCAAGACTATGGCCTCTCAGCACCTCTCTAAGACCAGCTCCTCCCATGCATTAAATGGGCTGAAGCCCTATGAAGAGAACCTTAGTGGCAGCGATGAGCCTGCTGACTTGCCTGTTGTTTCCATTCAACGCAGGATAAACAGGTACAGAAGGGTTGAATGACAGGGTGGGAAAGAAGGTAGTTGTAAATTCAGTGGGGCTCCCGTAAATTACGGGAGGGGAAAGAGTTTGGAGACTGTCATTCTTCCCAACCGTATATTTCTATCCAGGCAACGCTCCAGTTTCCCACCAACAGTAGAAGAAGTAGTTAACCAAACTGAACTTTGTATAGAGGACACCTCAGCTGAGCAGGGAAGCAATAGCCGGGAGGAAGACTCTGAAAACCTGCCCCCCCATGACAAGTAAGTGTTACTTGTTGTGTTACTCAACAAGCAAGTGTTGAGGCATAGTAGTGCAGTATTGTACCGCAGCATTGGTTCTGTTTGCAAGTAATGACAAGGAAACTGGATTTGCGTCTTGGTATTCCACTTCCATATTTTTAGTTAACTATCCAGTAGATGAATTATGTCTCTTCCAATGCCATGTCTGCACTCTTATCATGGTCCCTCTGGATATTTTCACCAGAAGAGACGAAAGGTCAGATGAGCAGGACACTCTGAGGATGTCCTCTCACCTGAAAGAGCAGATCTTGAGGATGGAGTCGGGGCAAAACTAAGCCTTCTCATTCTTCCAAACCTACGTCTGACTTGGAGGATACCTCATAATCCCCAAATTCCTGAAAATAACTTTGTGAAGCAGAAGGGCAATGCAAAAGTACAAGCCTTGCAAGATCAGCTACCGTGTCTGCAAAGTTGTACTCAGGAGGCAGGGGTATCTCTCACTTAAGAGCTAATAAATGTGATTTGGGAGAAGTACTCCACTGCTTCTGCATGAAAACCTTCAATATAGCAAATACTGGGAGCTGTGTTTATCATCTGTGTATCCCAAATCTTGCTTTACTTGCTCAGATAGACTGAACTACTCACCTTACCTGCTTTTCTGAATAGCAGGCTTTGGCCCTCCTATTTTTGTACCTGGACTGGACTTGGATAAAGTCCAAGCTGTTTTCTCTTCATGGTCAGAACGTCATAATCCCTGACCTTAGTTTACCGGACTGTGTCCTTTATCCAGGACAGTTTGTTTCTGGACACTTTATGCAGACGAAGGGGTTATTTTTGCTATCGCAGTTTATGCTTTGCAGACTTGACTCAACTACCTTGGAACTGAGCAGGTGAGTTTGCCACTCAGATAAAAATGCCCAGTTGTCTCATCTGAGAAACGTTCATGGTGATCTTTCACACATTCACTTAATTCGCTCCCAATTATTGGGAATAATCCACATAATGGGCTGAACTATGTGGTTGCATTTCTCACACAGGCAGTCTCAGCGGCACAACCCTCAGTCCCACCAGCATCACTGGCAGAGTGGCTACGGGGGCTCTGTGCCTCTGCTCTCCCATCGGGTCAACAGCAGACTCATCAAAGGAGTACTGGATGGCAGGCAAACCAAGCGCCGGCGCCTCTTGCCAGCCACTCCCGCAGGTCAGGATGATGGGGATTTGGTGTCAGGTGGAGAGTAGCTGGAAGAGGGAGGGAGAAACTATGCAAACCTGTCAGTTGCAGGAATATTTCTCTATCACACCACAAAATGTGTACAGTATCTACAAATGAAGCAACAATGTCTATTCAGTCTCTTTAGGACCAATGAATGATGACAGGCTGGGGACAAGAACAGGAGATAGTATTAAATTTGGAAACAGTACAGTTTCAAAACGTATGGGGAAATTTTTGAAAACACAGGCTTTTAAGTGAAGAACTAAATTCAGTTGAATAGTCTATTGGTTAGGATAGCTATAAACAACTATAGAGTTACTTTATCCACTCTGTTTTCACTTGCATTCTTTCTTGTGGTCTTAGAAAAGTGTGTAATCATGCTATGTTTAGCTTTTTTTAAAATTATGATGGGGAACTGTTACACATTTAGTGAATGAATAAATACTAAGAGATTTGGCTAAGCTAAACGGGACTAGTAGAAGGTGGCACCAATGGCTACTTAATACCTGCTTGCCATTCACTTCCATCACTTTCCTTCTTTGGGCAGACCGCAAACCAGCCTTTAGCATCCAGTGCCTGCAGCGTCAAGACAGCTGCGATGACATCCCCATCCCAGGCACCTACCACCAAAAGGCACCACTGGGCCGAACACACGTGCAGGTAAAAGAACATGGACAGAGCCTTCTTTTTAAAAGAGAGACTTAGAAAACAGTATTATTTTGCTCTTTGAGTTCCTTCCCTATGTTTCTCAGTATGTGAGGACTGTTTATGAGACAGACATTCTAGTAAGATTGCTTCGTGTGTTGTAGGGATGAACCTGAAGTCTGAAAACTGGTGTAAGTCTCTCTCTCCCCACCCCCGCCCCCCCCTCACACACCCACACCCCACACCAGTTTGACCAGGGGTGGGATCCGACTGGTGTAACTACCGGTTTGGTGATTTACGTTTTGCGCGCACACACGTGTGAAACATCAGCTTGCTGCCTGGACAGCTGAGCAGCGCTGCATGCGGGTGTGCAGTGTTTGAAAAAGCACTTTTTTCTTGCTTTTTCAACCGCAGCTGTGCCGCACAAAACAGCTGAGGTTGAAAAAGCAGGAAATAAAGGTCAAGTAAGAGCCCGGGAGGGCCAAAATAGCAGCAGACACGGAACCGGTTCTACGTCTGTTGCTCTTCAAAGCTACCAGTTCTACAGAGCCCAGACAGAACCAGTAGAATCCCGCCCCTGAGTTTGACCTCTCCTAACTGAAAGAAATGCTGTGACCATTTTAACAGTCATGTTGTATGTAACTCAACTGAACACTTCAGGATGATCTTCTGTAATGGTTCGCCTTTCTTCACAGATAATACATGACAGTAATTGAACTTGTAATATGGTTGTTTTATGATCAAACCAGGTTAATATTGTTCCTATCGTTGGCTGTTCCATTATTTGATTGTACCATGCATCAAACCATTTATACCCATTCTTTCCAATCTCATGTCCACAGGATATAATCCCCAAATATCTTGCCAGATGCTGGCTAAGAATTGTTGCAGGTTGGTTCCAAACAACTTGAGATCTCCAACCTGGAAAAAAGGGAACACACATGGTTTATCTATCTGGAGTATCCCAGGAATTTCCATGGCTCTTCTCTCCCACTCTGCTCTCCTATCAAGAAGCACACCGAGCTGCTTCTGCTTTTCCTTGGAGCATTTCTTCATCTAGCTTCAAATTGTTCACTGATTGGGAAAAGCTCCCCAGATACAGTTCCAGACCCTGAATCATTGTGGGCAGGGCAGGAAAAGACCATGTCAACTTGAGATGGCCTTGCCGTGCCCGCAATGATTCTGGATTTCAAGCTGTCGAAAGGTTGAACTGGCCTTTTACTTTGTAAATGGAAAGGCTGTTGAAAAGCACAGCAGCATTATTGTCCTTAGGCTGACTGCATCTCCCTTCTCTTTCAGTCCCACCAGGGCTACGGCAAGTATAGCTCATGGCACAGCGGCAGCCGCACTTCAACATCTTCCTCGCAATCATGGGCCACACCTCCAAAACGGGGCCGGCTGCTCTATGCTCCGCTCATCCTAGTGGAGGAGGAGAGGGTGCCAGGATACAGCTGGGAAAAAAATAGCAGCAGCCTTCCACCCATGTCGCAGGCTCACTGGTACAGGAATGAAGCTGAGCTGACCTGCCACACCTACGGAAGCCTCAAGGTTCCAAGCCCACTCCGGCACAGCTCCGGTGGCAGATCTGGCAGCGCAGACAGTCTGGTGGAGGCGGTGAGTCTGGGACAGGTCTCTGTTTCCTTCAAGTACTGTAATTTAGACCAGGGGTCTCCAACCTTGACAACTTTAAGCCTGGAGGACTTCAACTCCCAGAATACCCCAGCCAGCTTTGCTGGCTGGGGCATTCTGGGAGTTGAAGTCCTCCAGGCTTAAAGTTGCCAAGGTTGGAGACCCCTGATTTAGACTAACACAGTTAAAGATAAAAGTTGTATGAGCAATAACACAAGTAGTAACACAAATAAAAAGACTGTACCTCTTTCTATTTTAACTCTCATTACGTAAATTATACAGCTTCAAAAAATTAAACAGGAAGAAATTAAACTTAAGAGAGTGGAGAGAAAAATCAAAAGAATATGAAAAAGTAAAGAAAACTAACAATGTTAATCCGTAGTTGTGTTATATTAAACTTATTCAAATTGTTACAAATAAATTTTATGTAGCCTTTTCTGCTACATAAAGTCTTTCAAAGGCTGAGAAGTGACAGATTTCACTGAGTCATAGTTCGGTACACTTCCAGCATCCAGAACTGAATATAGGACAGAATGCTTGATCAAAGTATTTTAGGGAATAGTCAAACAATTACCAGTCTTCCATTCTAGATCTCCACTTGTTGAGAAACCTTGGAATAAATCATCTGCAAGTAAATTATCCTTTTTCATGTGTCAGGTTTCAGGTATAATGCCGGGACCATATTGATCTGTCTTATGGATGAGCAGTGGCAGGACCAGGATGGAGCAGTGCCATCTTTCTCATCCTATTTGACCTCTCAGTGGACCCTATTGATAAACTTACCTTTCTTCTTTTTCTCCTAGGTGCTCATCTCCGAAGGCCTAGGCGAGTACGCGCAGGACCCAAATTTTGTGGCCTTTACCAAGCGGGAGATTGCTGATGCATGCCACATGACTCTGGATGAAATGGAAAGTGCTGCCACGGACTTGTTGAGTCGCAAGTCTGCTGGTGGTGATAGCAGCAGCCGAGGTGGTGGAAGCCACCTTCTGTATAGCAGCGATGGGGAACACAGTGGAGCTGAGAGTCTAGGCCTTGTTTATAGTGATGAAGAAAGCTTCCGTTCCCATGAGGAAGAGGACTTGGCTGATGAGATGATCTGCATCACCACTTATTGACCAAGAAATGCCCTCCCAGCAGGGCACAAAGAGTCAGTGGCTGCAGAACTGTTCAAAACATTACTGTGGGTGGTTGTAGTTGTTTAAAAAAACAATGGAGTTCAGGGTTAAGAAATCAAACGCTATCCCCACATTGACTGTAGCAGAAACAATTATTAGAAAGACTGGACAATAAGCTTTCCTGATTTAGGGAGTCTGCTCTTTGTCTTCCGGGCTTTGGCTCTTCCAAAAATGGTACAGAAAACAGCAGCCTTGACCCTTTTCTTCTAAGGAAGGGTTCTGGAATTGAACAGTCATTCCCATACAATTAGTTGTATTTTTTCATCAAAAACAATAGATATTGTTTAAAAGATCTGGGATGGGAAGCTATTTTGCTAGATCATATTAAAAAGAGAGAGAGAAAGTAATTGTTCTCTAACATCTTTTCCCTGATATTAATTACAACCAGTTCTTTTATAGTTGCTTTTCCAACCTGGTACCTTCCAGATACTTTGGATTTCAGCTTTTATACTGTATTCTCCCAGCTCCCCATAATCATAAATGAGGTCAACTTCCCACAAATGATACTGGTATCCTGAGCTTTATATAATAAAGAATCCAGAACAACCTCTGGAGTTCCTCCTAGTGTATTCACTTGAATTAAAAGAATGTGAATGATTTGGGGGAAGTTATCTGCGGGTGGGAATCCAAAGTATTAAAGGGAAGACTATCATGATGAAATTGTATGAGATGTTACTTGATCCAATCTATTGGTCATAGAAGATTTTCGTATGTCTATTGCCATACATAGCAGACTAACCTCCCAATCCAGGAAATTCTATGATTTCCCTAAATTAAAAATGGGTAACTTTTCATCTAATTTCCTGAAGTTGTCCAAGTTACCCATATTCAACAGCCAGCTAACTGAATAAAGGTGATGTAATTTTCTGCATTTGCAGAAAGGGGTGCAAAAGAAGAAGGAGATGAGGCTGTTGGTCTTTGTTAATAAATATACGTCTTTCTTGCAAGGCAAAACAAAGTAGAATTACCTTCTTAAGACCAAGGGTCCCCTGAAAACACACATTTGTATTATTAAAAAATATACATACTTAAAATACTATTTTATCTCCCTACTCATTTCGAAAGGCCCCCTGAATATTTTTATAGAGTGCATAGCTTCAGGCCTTAAAACTGAAAGACAGGCCATAATATTTCACATGAATCAGATTTTTTTTTCTCCTTATCATTATTTTACTTCTAAGGAGAAAGAGGAGAAGGGAAGTTCTGCAAAACACAGAATGTTTTTAATGATCAAGCAGGATGGAAACAGTTCCGGGAGAGGATGAAGAAAAAGGAACAAACATGCCAGTAAAGCTGAGGAAGGGGGCTTTGCTTCCTTTTTTCCCCCTGCTGTAGCTGGATGGAATTTCTTCTTTCGCCTACAGTGGGAAAAGCTGTTCCTCCACAGATTATAACTCAACCATTATAATTCTCAGCATCAATCACTATTGCCCAAGCTAGCTGAGGCTATTGGATTTAGTTTGACAGCACTGATGGGGGCAGGTATATTCAAATTTCTTCCCTATTTGCATCTTAAATCATGAAAAAGGAAATCTGGAGGAAAGTAGCTATTTAGGCCTATATGTATATGGAATTATTTTTTCCCAGCATCAGAAAGGCCAGTTTTTAAATTGAAATGTTTTTCTAGCCAATCTTTATTTTCAAGAACATTATTATCTAGTGATAATTTAGAATTGACAACACATTTTCAAATTTCACCATAAAAATGTATGACTGGTTATGAGATTTTCTGACTACGGTGATCGTGGATTTGAAGGGTCTCAATTGAAGCCAACTGCAGAAATCAGTGAGTAAATAACGTAAATATAGGCTACCAAGTCTGTTAACACAGTGGTCCCCAACCACCGGGCCCCGGACCGGTACCGGTCCGTGGATCATTTTGTACCGGGCCGCCTATTTTGCTTGGGCGCCGCCATCTTGTTTCGACGGTGCTTGAGAAAGTGCGTCCGGGTGAGCTTGTCAGTCGTCGGTTGGAAAGCGGCGTTTGGGTGCTGAAGGAATCCTCGCGCCTTAGTTTTGTCGAGGGGGGGGTGGCTTCGAACGAAGAGCCGTCCCGATGGCGGTAGAGTCTCGTGTTACTCAGGAGGAGATTAAGAAAGAGCCCGAAAAGCCCATCGACCGCGATAAGGTACAAAGGAGGAGTTGAAGGTGGCGAGAAGCGGTCGCTCGGCTCGCCTTGCCTTGGTCGTGCGTGCTGATGCCGGTACCAGGCCGTGGATCATTTTGTGATGCCAGTACCGGGCCGTGGTACAAAAAAGGTTGGGGGCCACTGTGTTAACAGACAAGGCAAGCCAAGAAGCAAACAACGTACATGGTCAAAATGGATCAAATTTTGGATGACTACTATTGTGAAAACAAATGTTTTGTAAAAACCAAGATACTCAGAAAGCTAGACAATATTTGATTTTAAGGCTATGCTTGAGGACAAAAAGGAGGATATGCCTTCCTTTTGGAAGACTTCTGGTATCCCTGGGTGAGAGGAAGTCCTCCGGCTGAGCTGCCTTTTTGCAATGTTTAATTGATGAGCCAATGTCTCTATTACCAACAGATCCCAGAGGGCCTTTGAGCTAAATAGCTTTTGTATTACCATCAAAAGGCATATGGATAACATGGGTGCTGTATGAAGGCCCCAACCCAGGTTTAAAAGCCCTCAATTCAAATGTTTGAGAAGTCCCTTCCAAGGTAGCAAGATAGGCAGAGACACAGAAGAGAAAGGTAGAGGCAGTATGATTCCATTTTGAATTCAATCGAACCTATATTAGCTTTGGACTTACCCACACAGGGCTCTTTCTAATGGATGACTTATGAGGGAAGGAGAGTACTGACATTAAAAATTATTTATTCTGGCATAAGTTTGCTACCCAAGAACGAAGACCAGTTTTAGTGCATATTTAGTTCATATAAACCTATCAAAGATCCAAAATATGTTCATAAGTAATGCTAACTATCCCTTGAAATTTACAAAATTATGTGGGTAACATTTTAAATAAGTTTTCTATATAGAACCACTAGAGTTTGAGCTAAAATTTATAGGTATATCAAATGAATAGAATAGAATAGAATAGAATAGAATAGAATAGAATAGAATAGAATAGAATAGAATAGAATAGAATAGAATTATTTATTGGCCAAGTGTGCTTGGACACACAAGGAATTTGTCTTGGTGCAAATACATAGATACATTCATCAAGAGTCAAGAATCATCAGATACAACACTTAATAATAGTCATAGAGTACCATAAGCAATCAAATCATACTGGGAAACAATATAAATTGTAGGATACAAGCAACAAAGTTACAGTCATACAGTCACAAGTGGGAGGGGATGGGTGATAAGGAGTGATGACAAGATTAATAGTAATAGTAGTGCAGACTTTGTAAATAGTTGGACAGTGTTGAGGGAATTATTTGTTAAGCAGAGTGATGGCGTTTGGGAAAAAACTGTTCTTGTGTCTAGTTGTTCGGGTTTGCAGTGCTCTATAGCGTCTTTTTGAGGGAAGGAGTTGAAACAGTTTATGTCCGGGATGTGAGCGGTCTGTAAATATTTTCACAGCCCTCTTTTTGACTCATGCAGTATACAGGTCCTCTATGGAAGGCAGGTTGGTAGTAATTGTTTTTTTCTGCAGTCCTAATTATCCTCTGAAGTCTGTGTCTGTCTTGTTGGGTTGCAGAACCTAACCAGACAGTTATAGAGGTGCAGATGACAGACTCAATAATTCCTCTGTAGAACTGTATCAGCAGCTCCTTGGGCAGTTGGAGCTTTCTGAGTTGGCGCAGAAAGAACATTCTTTGTTGTGCTTTTTTGATGATGTTTTTGATGTTCTGGTGTGCAGTGCTCTATAGCGTCTATCATCTATCACCCAACAAGGATGGTGTGGTTCTCGCTCCCGGAGAGCTTTAACCTCCTGTCTGTATGCAGATTCATCGTTGTCTCGAATGAGACCAATCACTGTTCCATCATCTGCAAACTTCAGTATTTTAACAGATGGATCGTTTGAGATGCAGTCATTGGTATATAGGGAGAAGAGAAGTGGAGAAAGCACACAGCCTTGGGGGGGGGGCTGTGCTAATTGTACAGGTATCAGGTGTGATTCTGCCTAGCTTAACCTGCTGCTTCCTGTCTGTTAGGAAGCTTATGATTTTTTTTTATTTTATTTTGTCAAGCGATTATAAGGTAACAGGTATAAGAATAAACATAGTTATGAATACATGAAATGGATACATATAAGAAAAAAAAGAAACAATAGGACAGGGGCGGTAGACACATTGGTGCGCTCATGCATGCCCCCTACAGACCTCTTAGGAAAGGGGTGAGGTCAATAGTAGACAGTCTAAGGTTAAAGTTTTTGGGGTTTGGGGAAGAAACCACCGAGTCAGGAAGAGTATTCCAGACATTGACCACTGTTGCTGAAGTTGCATTTCCTGCAATCAAGTTTGGTGCAGTTTATCTTGAGTTTGTATCTATTGTGTGCTCTTGTATGGTTATGGTTGAAGCTGAAGTACTCATTGACAGGTAGGACATTGCAATATATAATTTTATATACTATACATCAGACCGAAGCGGTGTAGTTCTAGGTTGTCTAGGTCTAGAATTTCAAGTCTGGTGGCATAAGGTATTCTGCAACGAGTAGAGGAGTGGAGAACTCTTCTTGTGACTTTCTCAACTGTATTAATATCAGATACGTAATGTGGGTTCCAGACTGATGAGCTGTATTCAAGTATTGGTCTAGCAAATGTTTTGTATGCTCTAGTTAGTAGTGTGATATTACCAGAGAAAAAGCTACGCAGGATTAGGTTAACAACTCTTAATGCCCTTTTGGCTATGTAGTTATAGTGGGCTCTAGCACTTAGATCATTAGAGATGAGTACTCCAAGATCCTTGACAGAGTTTGGATCATCAACAAGGTCTTGACTACTCAGCTTGTATTTTATTTTCTGATTTTTTTTGCCAATATGTAAAACAGAGCATTTATTTGTTGAGATTTGAAGTTG